GATTAATGTTTATGGGATATTGCTGTAATTTATTTACAGCAATTTACGTTTTTGTTTCAATAAAAAGGAAAGTCCGATTTTTGTCCACATTTCTCATTAGACATTAATAGCAAAGTAAAGTACCATATAAGTAAATAATGACTGCAAGCTTGAGGAAAGTTTGACAACTTGTGTTGAAATGCACACGCTTGCCGGGTCCGATGGCACGACTATTTCTCGCAGCTTTATATCTGCCCGAGATCTGTTTTTCTTACTGACTGACAGAGTGAAGGGTGAGAGGCTACCGACTCTCGTAAAGAGAAGGTCTATCTCTCTCTCCCGCTCTCTCTTTTCCTCTCTGTGTATGTGTGTAAGCGTACAACATGTGTAAGAGAGATTGATACAGTTGGCCTTCAGTGAGCCAGCTTGTACCCTTTTATTTATTTTTTTTATTTTTTTATTTATTTATTATTTTTTTTTTTTGGGTGACGCAATTTCTGTAACTTACATAGTGTCCTCCGCCTCATTGAAGCTTTGTATACGGTCCAATATTCTTCTCTTAACCTTCAAAATCGGGACAGCCCTGTATCTTTCTTGAGCTAATGGATGGTGGCCGAATGAAAGCATTACTTCCTGCTTTTGCCATTTCCAAGAACTCTGAAAGGGCAGTGGGGAGAAAGAAAGGTATTTCCATTACGTTCCAGTGGAGGCAGCTTAACTTCCTCTTTGTTCAGTGTATTGATTCTAGTGTACTCTGGCTCTGTGTGCCAAGCCAGCGAACCACCCACTAGCTGTCCTTGCGATGTCAGGGATGTGAATAGGAGTTTGATAAAGCCACAGATGGCATGCTGCTCCCACCCCTCCATAACTGCCATTACTGATGTGTTGCCACATTAATGTAGTCGATACAATTTCTACAATTTTTCTGCTGGAGCAGACAAATCGATTACGATGGAGAGGATGGAAGGTCCTATAGATGTTGGCGAGTTTGTGTGCCTATATTGTACAAATACAAGCCCATGAGGTGCACTGTTGCATGCGTTAGTGCTTCAGGCGGTCTCACACGTAACCTTGTTTTACTTAATAAAATCTAATGTAAGTTGAATCCCTATTCTCTGCACAAAAGCATCAACGTTACCATTATTTCTAGTCATGTCCTTGTAAATTTGTGTTTAAATTATAAAAACTAACTGAAACTGTTAAATTGTGTACATACCGTACATAGAACGTGATAGATGTGATGATCTGTAAAAAGTGGATTCATTGTAACTGTAATGGAAATTCTACCGTGTATCACTGATTTATCCCTGTGGAGCATCTTTGCACTTCTGCACCTTTTTAGTAAAAGCTTGCTGTATCCCACAGGGGAAGAAATCTGAAATTGATAACTGATTTTCTCAAATGCAGGTTATTGAGTGAGTTATGTCGCTATGTAAGGCCCACTCACATCTTTATTTAAAAGGACAACTTTTTGCGGCCAAATCAGTTAATTTCAAAGGAATTGCAGTCAGTCAAGTGGCACTAGGGGACAATGTACACATCTGGACACATTTCCTGTGTCACATTTTTGCCATTGATCAACCGTAAGCAGACTTGACAATGCTGCCCTTTGAATGAACAGAGAAGTGGTGAAGAAGCTACCGGGGCTTATTTGGTGTGTTGCTGCTCCATCAACTGTGATGTAACCCTGCTTTGTCAGAGTGCAAACTGCTCCAGAAAAGGATTGCTTTGCAGACGGTAGTCGGTGGTATAAATACATATTTTGAACTGAACTTTTTTTTCCGTCAGCAGCCGGGTTAAGGAGCTAGCTGTCTGACAGGTAACGCTAGTAGCTTGCAAGTGTGGAGAGCTTTCCCCCCCCCTCTTCAATGACTCTTAATTGAAATAAATATGGTATACTTATGAGAACAAAATGCCAGTAGGAAGTAGAAAGAAGCCTGGAGAGCTATTGTGACCATTGTGTGCTATTGTTCCAAGCTGGCTGGCATGCTGGAGTTGAGATCGATTGCCACACAGCCTTGCGAGTAAGCTAACCTCTGAGCAACCAATCTAACTACACATTTCACAAAGACAGGCAGATCACTTTTGCTGTGCCCCTTTAATGTTGTGACCAGGCTTTTATAGTTGAAGGAATTTATGTTGCATGTACATGTAGATTAGAGAATGTAAAAAGAAAATACAACAAGGTAAATCCGCCATCTCAAAATCTGTTTAAAAGTGCCATCATTTCCCAACTTTTTTTAAGTATGCGCTGTAAAGTAATTAGTTTTTGTTTGCTTTTCGCAATCATTTTACAAGACTAGCAATAACTTTTCTTCAAAACAAATCTTTCTGAACAAACAAACGGACAAAAAAGATAAATAATGGGTTGAAATAGCAGATAGTTGTGTCTTGCTTCTCATGCCTGCCTGCCTGTCACTGTAATGTAAGTAATGGTACACTCCTCTGGACAAACATGTGTTATTATGATGGCTATGACTATCCACATGGAGCCACGCTTGTAGTTTCATTTCTTTTGTTAACGTGACAGTTGGGCCAGTAGCTGAAGCTTGCTCAGTGACGGGTCAAGGACGACTTATTGTTAGAAACACAGTACTATATTTGTGAGAAGTATAAGGACCTGGATTCTGATCTGTGGATCACTGTATATCTTCTGAACATGATTTCAACAGGAGCTACACCTTTTTATAACCCTTTGATTTGAAAACAGCCGGGGGAACAAATATGAATCAGGATTTGCGTTGCCATTTTTACCAAAAAAAACGTTGGTAATATTCAAATGGTTTGGAATAATGCATGCAATTATTTACATTGTTGACTGGCTGAAAAGTTTAGCTTTCTGTCCCTGAGCATCACTACATTGTGTTTTGAGTTCTACTGCTGGGCATTTCAAAGTGTCATTGATGATCTAAATATGGATATTGGATTGCAAATAAGCTGACTGCTCCAGTCATGTCGCCGAGCCTCTCTTTCCTAGATACTGAATACCCCTTGTCTTATGTAATGTAACTTTCTGTTGGTGCCACCAGTGCTGACAGTGGCAGAACACAAGGACTGCTCTGCTCATGTCTAAAAATGTCCTCCTAATACCCCCTCCTGAGTCTTAAGTGAAAGGAGGAAGGACAAGGTGTTGCTGTGACACGCAACAGTGGGGAACATAACCAGCATACAAAATCCTCAGGTCTTTTCTCTCTGCACTGAATTCCAAAAAAAAGCCTCATGCTGGACTCTAAAATTGTACCAGAAAAACATAATAATGGAATGTTATATATGACAGTATTGGAAAAAAAATATGCATGCATATGTTCAATAACAAGTTGGAGTTGCCACAACTTTTTCTGTCCCTAAATCTGGTGTAGAAGAAGCAAAAGTTGCTTTGGATATTCCCATGCCCATACTCCGTGTCGAGGAATTATGTAGCTCATTTTCCTTCCTTGGCTAAGAATGCCAGTGTTGGTAGTGTGTTGCTCTTGCTCCGGACACAGAGCAATGGTCTCAGTTCAGTTGTTTATCAACCTTTTGTGCCATAATCTTCATTTAAGTGGAGGAGACTTGGGTTTAACCTTAAAACTTTTTTGTGCTAATAGCTAAATGCAGCCCAAAGCTAGGAGCAAGTGTCATAAAACACCGATTTTACTGCACTAACATGTCATAAAGGTAATTGTCTTTCACACACACACACACACACACACACACACACACACACACACACACACACACACACTCTGGCCCTTAAACACTGCTCTAAAGCTTCGTTTCCTCCAACTGTCACCACAAACCGTCTCAAGAGTGCTACTTCACATTCAGCAGAGCCAGTTCAGAGATGGCAACCTTGAACAAAACTATTAAATCACAGAAGGCGATATAATTGTTACTGTACTTTGGGCAAGAGCGTAGTTATTTAGTTGAAAGAGCAATTGACCTTTCGCTAAGTCCCCGTCGGCCTTAGTTATCGTCTCTACGATGGGTTTTCAAAACAATAAGTCCTTGATTTCAGACTGGTAATCATAAGCAGACTTCCCAATTTCGAGCTGGCTGTCGTTATTTTATTGACGGCTGTAATGACGACATTTGCTGGTGATTTTATCCGCTGTAGCTAGCTGGCTATTTAAGCCAACGTTGGTTTCATGAGTTGGTTGAAAACCCTGTCTCCAGCTTCCAACTGACTCGTTTTAAGTTTAGGAGAACCCTACAGTATCAAAGGGTCTTATATATAATTGATGGCTACATACATGGTATTGTGCAAAAAGTCTGCATCTTCACCAGTTCACATGAAAAATAACAACAGCATTGTTCTTGTATTGCAGTATAGAGCTAGTTAATAGTCCTACTTGCATTATAAGCGTGATGAGATCTTTAGGGAACCTCTTCATGCATGCAGATATAGTAGCATTTTGGACTGTTGTAAACACATCTATTTTTTTTTTTTTTTTAACGGTTTGATCCCCGGCTCCTCCTCCTCCGCAGGCCAAGGTGTCCTACACTTTTGCTCCTGTAATTTTAGTTTACAAAAATTAATAAGATATTATATAAGTACTCTTAATACAGCCCAAGGCTCACCACTTCAACATGTGGGGGAAAACCTACTATTAAACAATCGCTGTTCTAGGATGTTTAGCAAATGTTCAATTCTTCGAATTTGCTGATAATTGAAATAATTTGACAGTTGCATAGTTCTTGTCTTTTCCCCACCAGATTTACACCGGTTTTAAAGGCTGCTTAAAAGTAAAGTTATGTCATTTTCTGAACTTACCAAGCTGTTCTATTGTTTGCATTTACCCACTTAGTCATTATATCCACATTACTGATGGCTATTTATCAAAAATCTCATTGTGTTAATATTTTGTGAAGGCACCAATGGCCAACCCTACGATGTCGTAGCAGTATCGATGGTGTGTGGTCAAACATCTTTTTTGCTATTTTCACACACTGCATTGACTCATTTCAACTAATCCTCATCTTAAGCTCCAAAAGTTGCTTTCCAAGCCAAGTGTCTCTGTCAAAAAAGGCATTTGCCACTCTTTTCACAGACAGTGTCATTTAATGAGAGGCACTTACAGTAGACTCTAACACAATTAGGTGTTTGATGACAACCTTGGTAAGAAAAGGAATCTCTCAAATGAAATTGGTCTCTGTGATCAGTATGTCACCCAGTGGGAAGCGACTTCATTTCGATTCATTGACCCTTCATGAGTTAAAGCTCATTTCCTGTACGTGTCACTTCACGGAGGCTCCCGCAGCAGGATGCAGGCTTTCAACCGTACCAGCTCAGAAAACCTTCCCCTCTTTCCATTTGATTCAAGGATTAGATTTGATTACAGATTTGAGCTGGACAACCTCTGCGACAGCCGTGCAATCTCCTTTTTTTTTTTTTTTTTTCAAGTCTTCTTGTTAAATTTACATAAAGCAGATGGGATTTCGGCTTGAGATTCTTCTGATTCTCCCATGTTTCATGAGCACAACAAGGATGGTTACAACACGTTAGAAAAAAAACAACTGTAGTCATATAACTAGGAATTAATGTGTTGACTGATCTATTGCCATCAGCAACTGTTGCTTCAGTGAATAGGTCAACGATTGGTATTGATAGCTTTCAAAAATCCTTTAAATTGACATTCAGCTATGGTCATCGGCTTGTACGTATCTACAAACAATACACTGTTTCACTCCACACATCTGTTCTCAAATGTTACTACCTAATAAAATGACTACTGTTCAACAACAAGACAAAGACATTTTCCCTTTGGTGGAAGTGTATTGTGTAAGTGTGTACTGTAAACATAGTTTTGACAGCAGCTCTCAAATGAAGAGAACCATGTGCCACAGAAGCAAAGAAATGATACAACCAAACTGTTTGTGCACTCATAGTCCACATCTAGGACAGGTCGGCAGCAATAGAAAACAAGTAATACATCTTTTCGTTTTGCTTAGTCATGAAAATATCTGTTTTATACAAAAATTAAATACAGTTACAGTATGTTACAACTTGTGAGCGCAAGCGTGACTACAAAGCCTCTGAGAAAGAAAAAGAAAAAAAGTATTAGATTGGTTCTTGTCAAGGGGCTTGATAATAATACATGTGCAGCATTTGGCAAAACAACAGACACCCTTTCAGCAAAGTAAAATCACCAGAGTCACCAAAGCACAGGGAGAAGGTGAAGGACAGAGGGAAGAGTGAGGAAAGGAGAGGAGAAGGTGGCAAGTAAGGAAGGAGGCAGTGAGGCAAGATGTTTTAAGATGTCCCCCGTTTACATTATTATTTTTTAATAAGTTCAGATGATACTTAGAAATCATGTGTCTAGCTTTGTACAGTTTGCTCTCAGTGTTGGTAGCTCTATCCGAGTCTCCAGTCTGCCGTTAATGAAGTGTCAGCCAATGACATAATCACAAAGGGAGGGCTCCAACCGCTTCCTTTGTGACACTATAAGACAGCAGTGACTTCACCAAGCCTCTCAAAAATCCATTTAACATTCAGTATAACCGATCAGTGCGTAATCTGTTGCACTAATAAGTCTTCCACCACTGTGGCCTTGGATATACAAAAGATTTCCTTATATTGTATGCTGAGCATATTGTCCACACATCGTTTGTCCTTCATGTCCTTATGGTTGAGAGTTCAGTCTCAACATACGTCTTAGGGTTTTGGTTGAGGATGGGAGGCCATTCGGGTCTCTCAGCAAAGGGAAACAATCAATAGTGGGAGCACGACAAGGGTGAGAGCGAGCCGGCGGCGGATGGGGGGATGATGGAGGGAGGCCCGTCCAGACAATTGGTCATCACACTCCCCGGGGCCCTGGCAGCGAGCTCTCTCGCACAGGACGCCCGTGAAGCCAGGGGAACAGTGGCAACGCTGATGGTGGTGGCAAGAGCCACCGTTCTGACAGCGCAGCATCGCGTTGTCACACACCCGAGCTATGGAGGCAAAAGCAAAAAGGGCAGAGGTGACAGGAAGGGGTGATTAATAGATCACTCAGTGATAAGGTGGCAGAGAACATAAACAGGCAAGTTCACAGGGCACAAGCTGCCTCTGCTTGTCCTGTCTGCATCGCTCTGTGTCCTTAGAGCACAGCTGACACATTAGGGAGGGTGAAGCCAAGGACTTCAGTGGAGGAGTGGGCAGAGGACGAGGACACAGATAACCAGGGCACATACTGTATGAATACTTGAATGCAGCCCACAGCCTGTGACAACCCTGTCCATGAATGATTGTTTATGACAAAAGAACAGAGACAGACGTTTTATGGATTTGTGGTTATTTTAGGAGCACCAAAGGGACTTCAGAGCAAATAATCCAAACAAAAGAGCAAACAAACCATGGCAGTGATGAGGTGAAATTAATGATTAGTGAATCAAAGGATGCTGGAGTATGGTGAAACAGCCCCCTTGTGCAGGACAGGAGAATACAATTTGTGTTCCCTCTGGCCCAATGACACTCAAAGAACAGAAAGAGGAGAAAACATGGGATTGATTTCCTGGCTCCACCTGCACCACCACTGCCTTTGATATGGAAATAAGCATTTTTTTGTCAATCACCAATTGTTGCAGATTTATTCTCGGCGGGTAACCTTACAACAAACAATACAATTCCCTGTCGAAGGAAAATGATGTAAAATCCAGGACTGCATTGTTCTAGTGGCCACCAAACATTTCTTTGTTTTCCTACAGATTGATTCTACATAAGCCAAAATTCACATTTACAGACACAAACTCGCGACTCAATTAGTCCAGGAAGCCTCTCTGCTGGCAGAGGTGAAATCCTGGAAGAGGTAATATTTGCCAAGAGATTTCAGTGTAATTGGATATCTATACTTGCATAAATACATATCACATTTTTGGTTTTCTGTAATGTGGCTCATGCATCAGAATAAACGCAACAAATAGCCTCATCATTGCTCCTGCCAAAACTGATTAAAAAGGCATTGGTATTGCATTTAACTTAATAAGATCCCCATCCCCTTCACACAGACACCACTGCTGTTATGTGCTTAAAATGGAAAGTCCACCTGTGGAAAGAGGGGTTTCATCATCGATAATTCTGTGATGAAGTGCTGTAAATTACTCTTTTCCTCGCCTCGTCTGCCTCTACTTTCAGAAACACTGAGAGGTTTGGTATGACAGCCTTGTTCTGTTAAACTGTTTGTATGTTTTTTTTATAGACGGGTTGATAATGGTATAGCATTATAAGAGCATATATAGCATCTCTAACAATCAACCATACTCCTGACTTAAAATGCAGCAGGTCTTGTGGCTGCGTTGCATGATAGATTTCTCTCCGTGTGATTGTTGAACACTGGTGCAAAAGTAATGAGTCTGGCAAGAAGCCACTGCTCTTTGATTCAGAGACTGACAAGAAAACCTGACATTTACAATTGATGTTTTTTTGTTCACAAAACTCGAATCGACATATTTATATTTAGATGAAACCCCTAAAAACAGACACAACAGACCCTGATCTGCGGATCATGTCGGGGAAAAAGCAGTTTGTTTACATTCAATGTCAATTTAAAGGGCAAATCAATACAGAAAAAGAATAATTAAAATGATCATTTTTGTAATCAGAGGCTGTAGTGCAGCAGTGAAAGGGGTTGGATTAGAATTCTGATATTATTAGTGGCTGGCACGCCATGTCTCTCTGTCATGACCACTGAAAGTTTCTGTACTGTCGATTTTGCACAAAGCACTATTTCGCAATTACCTGGTGATGTGAGGGTTAAATTACTACACGTACAATGACCTCTGTAGTACCCTCAGCTCTACGTAGATTACTATCAAATACATGCTGACATCGACGCGTCTGTGGGATGTGTAAATCATCTGTTTAATAAGTTTACAATATCAACTTAAAATGTGAAAATATGTCGGCGTTGTTTCCACTGATCCCAAGTGATAATGTTTATAATCAAGCCTAACACAAACCTGTCCCAAAATGCAATATAAGCTTAAAGGGATACTACAAAATTACCATTTGTTTATCAGTATACTGCACAAGCTGTGCGAGAGTTTGTAAACTAATGTTTTGATATAGTTTTGCTGTTGTTTAACACGGCCCCCATTTACTTAAATTCATCAAGACTTTTCTCCATTTTATTTTGATTCTTCGTTCGTTCAGCAGGGAAGTTTTCTTCAAGAGTTCAAAGTAACACAGGGCGAGTAATTGATATGCAAGTGGTCATTGTGTGGGTGAAGTATTCCTCTAAGCCCAGCCAGAATATATCTCAGGCCCTGACAGTCTTGGTCCAAGTTTGACAGGATTAAGACTTGTAGTCAGTCCAATCATGCCCAACAAATGAGCACCTTACAAGTGCAAAATTGTCTGTACTTGAACTTTGCATGCATACCAATGGACCCCTGAATTACAGAGTGCTGCTCTCCTATCATAACTGCGTTCAAACATTAATGGCCTTCTGGCTGCACCCCAATCAGTATTTTCAAAGCAGCTTTCTATTTTACAGCTAATTGAAAACACCTGCTCTGTGTGTTTTGGTCAAAATTACCATGGGATCAGCAGCGTCTCCATCGTCTAGTCTACGCATTAACTTTGTTTCCTGTTGCCAAAGGATAATCTCTGTATCCTCCAGCAGACCCTCAGGACCATTGTCTTTCGAAAAGCATTTGTAGCCCAATTAGTTTGCAGAGGCCGAGGCTTAAGCCTGCAGTGTTTTAGTGGAGCCACGGGGCCCTGCTGTCATGACAAAATACAGAGAAAAATAAGTCAATTATTCTGTCGCTCAGAAGAAAACCTCACATAGGGACAGGGTATATGTGAATTAATAAAGTTTGTAAGTTGGTATCTTCGGTTCCTATCTATTATAGATGAGATGAGCATGTCTGGGGAAACTTTTAACTCAACACAGTGAGACAAATTAGTGTCTGAAATGTAAAAACTAGCTCATATTAAAAAGCCAAATGTGTATAAGGAAAAAGCATTTCCATAACATTGGGGAAGAGAAAGATTAAAAAAGAATCATCAGAATTAGAGTGCCCCTTTAATAATCGATTATGAAATACGACATCATGCTGTTTGAACGTTTTTTTTTAATTATTTTTTTTTAACATAACTATCTTTATATAGGGGTGTCGACAAACTTGCCCTGCGTGACACACAGTCTTAGACGTATGCTGGCAGCAAGTGAGAAAGCAGCAATTTGAGTCCTGGCTAAGCACCAGCGGACTCTCTCTGGGACATATTGGCACCTCGCACCTCCGTCAGATGTGTGACATTTTAGCAGTATAACTGTTATGACAGATCTATCCTTGGGCCTCGGTGTTGCATGAAGCAACATGGAGAAAATTCACCACAGCAACAACACAAACAGTGATAGACCGGATGGACCAAGAGCTGAGATAATTATTCTTATTCGTCATATTGCTGCTTGTGTGACTGGAAACATAATGACATTGAAAGGACATATTGGCTTTTTTGAGCAGTCTAGTTTTGTCGAAAACCAGGAATTCTGAACTTGCTTTGCCCGGGGAACACTTTTGTTAAATGACAGGAGGCCATGGGCCAGTTAATAAACCGCTCAAACATTGGGGGTTTAACCTCTGTCGGGGGGTCCGGGGGAACCTCCCCTAGACTTTTTATTCATAAACAAGCTCTATTAGTCTATTTTGATATTGTTGTTTTTTTGCCCTCTGGCACCTCATTTGAGAGTAAAAAATTTTTTTTTAAATCACATTGTAAATCAATTTATTTTGATTGTGAACTAGGAAATGGTCAGCGCGCCACCCGGTACCCTATTTGGCATGCAGCCGTAAATTGAGTATCCTTATCATAAACATAATCAGGCAGTTCTCTAATCCTCTCTTTTCCGTGAACTCTTAACATCCTCAGTACTCTAAGACGAAGTTTATGAGATACCAGCATTTTGTGGAAGATTTATTTTGTATGTGATGGCAATAAGTTCCGATATTAATATTACATGAATCACTGAGCTTGGTTGCAGTCATGTGAAGCCAGACACTGAGTTATGGTGTTAAAGATCCCCCCCGCCTTTTTTTTTTATATTTATTTTTTTGAGCGCGATATCTCAGCAACACTTCGAGGGAATTTCTTCAGATTTGGCAAAAACGTCCGCTGCTAGGACTTAAGGATGAACTGATTAGACTTTGGTGGTCAAAGGTCACTGTGACCTCACAAAACATGTTTTGGGCCATAATTTAAATTTCATATGCTAATTATGACAATTCCACACCAATGTCTAATGGGATGAATTGACAAAAAAAAGCATCTCCATTTAATTACATACAGGGAAAAAATATGGTAGTTATTTATACTATAGTTGTTCATAGTGATTAAAAATCCGTTATAACTATAGATTCACCAGTGCAATTAACTATGACCGGAGACAGTTTTCAGATACAGGATCTGCTAATTATATACTCTGAGAAAGAATTGTATTGCTTCTATTACATTGGATCAATGTCTTTTTGCCATGGTGTCAGGGAAAGCTGAAACCCAGCATTCAACCGCGCCTCCTGTTATCATATTAACATGAAGGCTTCGTCATTAGTCATGACTCGAGGCTCTGAAGTTCAATAAAAGGTGTCAGTTGCATCGTAGCACTTGACAGTGGCAATGAAACAAAACTGCATCTGAAGATAGAAAGTGTCTGATTTTCTTTTCACTCAAGTCCTGTGTTGGTAAATGCTTGTCAAGTCAGAATTGGAAGATACGAAAGTACCATTGGAGGAATAGTTTTTTAAAAAAAAGGGGGAAATATTCTTTTTCTTGCCGAGAGTTAGAGAAGATTGGTACCACGCTCATGCAACAATGTTAAGCCACCATCAGCAGCCTGTTAGCTAAGCGTAGCACAGAGTGGAAGCAGGCTAGTTTGACTTTGTTGAAAAATACACCTACAAATATAGCTCACACATTTACATGTTGAATTTTGTTTGTTTGATCTGTACACAAACGGAAATGTAAAAATGAGAAGTTGAATCTCTTTTCTCTGTTTTTATATCATTGTAGACTGTTGGTCAGACAAAAACAATAAGTCACCATTGGCTGTGGGAAATTTGAAGTTTGTTTACCAATTTTTAATGCTCTTTTATAGCTATTATTCATCAATATCATTTTTGTCGATTAATTAATAACAAAAACAATCATCGTTGCAGCCCATTTGGTACCTATCGCAAATGCTAAATAACTTCCTTGTGTTTATCTCAGAGACTGTTGCAGTATAAAATGTCACCTCTCTTTGCACCAGAGGACTTTTCCTATGAAAACACATACTGTCATGGGGCATTTAGAATTGATAAGGTAAGTGCAGAATGGACCAAATGAAAGCTTTTCATTGAAATTGTTATCGGTCAGATTGATTCTGTGTTGTGGCTCTTTATATGGAAATGATGCACATTACACAGGAAAGCAGAGTTTCTTGTAATCCACTCCAGTGCAGTAACCGGCTTCCTTTCACCTCTGAGTGCAGCAAAGACTGGATTATTTTCACAGGTGCACCTCGTTCCCAGCTTTGTGAGTCCAGAGAGGAGAAGGAAACACCCTGTCTCAATCGTGGAAATCCTGAAAGTCCTCTTTAAATATTTTTTCTCTCCTGGCTGTGAGAGCAGTGGTGCAGATGCAACTTAACACTCACTACACAGGATATCTGGCTTTGAGGATTAGCCGGAGATAGCTTGAGATCAATCTACATAAACCCCCCTGAAGCCTCTTCTCTCCTTCCCTCTCCTCCTCTATCCTTTTTTTCCTTGTGAAAATGGCATAGAGGCTGCACCCCCAGAGAGCATTGTTGGTAATTAAAAAGAGGGCATGATCAAAGACGGTTAGGAGGCTGTGGACTTGGTGATCATGAGGCATGTGGTCCATTCCCTATAGTGTTCTCACAACAAAAAGTCTACCTTGTAAGGACCAGCGTGTGTGTTTGTGTGCATGCAGGATGAAAGCATCTCGGCTTTGGGGAAACAACCTAATTGCAAATTTTACATTACACTTTTCTTGTGTGTAAATTGCCAATCAATAAGCAGTCAGTTGTCTCTATGTATTATTAATGTCATGCTGAAGTTACAAAGCCTATAAGCCTACCTTGGTTACGATTTGCAACACCAAGAGATGAAGCATTTGCTCGATCTGCGTAAAGATGGGAAAGGTTATATATTACACTGAGTTGTCATATTTTTCATGCTGTTATGTAGTTAAAGCACAGGGACAGCATGCAGAGATTCTTGTTTTTGTCTTTTTTTTTTTACAATAATCTGTGAGTTATCTGGGCTTGTTTGCCTCAGATTTATTGGAGAGTTTCTGCCACGTGTTTTGGATTAGTAAATGGACTGATGTAAAATTGTGTGCATGCAGCTTAAATGAGTGAATCTTCCACAAGACAAAGGCAGAGACATGTACATTTGTTATCCAGTATGAGGATTCGCCTTCAGGCATCAACATGCTTAAGGATGCATGGTGGGAGCCATGTCTTCATGAAAAATGTTTTTCTTTTGTCTGGCTTTGGGCAAATATCAATCTGTTAAAACCAGCTTCGAGCAAATATTCTAGTGCGGAAGGGAGCCCAAACATGCCCAAACATGCAGGACTCCTACAGTATTTTATGAACTAGCAAGTCATTTAATCTTACTAGTGTTTTAAGTTTTTACTTAACTACTAATTGTACACGTTATATTACTGCTGACCATTTTGCAAAGCATGCGTGTGAGTTTTTTGGTATTTCCTCCCTTAAAACAATGGATATATATCCAAAATATCAAACGTTATAGCATGGTTTGCAAAACTATTAGCAGGAATGTATGTCTGAGTATAAGTATAAACAATTTGTAATACAACATATAAACGTTTTTGTTTTTTTCTTAAAATAAATAGAAAATGTGTCACTAGGATAAGAAAATTGTATTAGTTTCTTTTATATTTAAAGTCTTCCAGCAATGATTTTCACGATCAAAACTGCATTGGAGAAAGTTGGGTTTTCTCACACCATGCACAGGTTTACTTTCATTCATAAAAGTAGGATATTAAGATGTAATTCTAAATAAATGCCTTGGAAAACATACTGATGAATGATAATGGTAATGTACAGAACAATTCCTCACACCAACATCATCAGTCAAACAAGAGTTAGTCATCACTGGGGGAGGAAGACATTAGTCAGCATGCCAATTTAAAAAAGCTTGATCAACTTACGCACTGGTCCATGATTACTGGGGATACCTGCGTAAAGAGCACAGAAACAGTGTTTTATGAAAGCATGGACTCATGTAATGTAACTCTTCAAACTTTACTGCAAGAGAAAACATAATTGTTTCCCTTGAATAATTCAAAGCCCACCAACACTTATCAAATTGATCTCCACTGTGTCCACTGATTAACAGCAGCCATGACTCTGCAGAGAACCCGACCACTGCATGGTCCAACACCCGCCTACTTCTGATGATAATAACAGGTCTGCCAATGACAAAATGTCAACAGAATCATAAATCTAGATGCAGAAAGTCTTTTCATCAGCATTGTTTCAAATAAACATATTCGACAGTTTGCCCTCTTTATCTGCTGTTACCTTTAATCATCTTTGAATCAATGAATCTCTGAAGCAAACCAGTCATACAGCATCTGCAAATAGTTAATAAAGCTTGTTGTAATCTGCTCCGACTGTCAGGTTAGTGTTATTAGCAGTTTATAGAAAACTGAGATAAAGCCAATCAAAGAAATGGAAGAATAACAAAAATGCTTTAAAACATTTGCCTATGATTGATTGTAAATCAAAGATAATATGTTGAAAAAATGAATTACATTTCCAAGCATTGAAATAGGTCCTGTCTGTGAGCTGGAGCTGACGTTGGCAACCCTGTAGCAGGCTTTGTCTGAAAGCCTTTGTGTTATCAGTATCTGGCTGTGGATTCACCATCTTTTTGTTGCGTTAATGTAATCAGCAGGGACATCCTACCCCACAATTAGCGCAAATTCATATAATTTTCTCGTGCTCTATCACTTTGTCCTTCTGTGATTATGTTTCAGTGGGGTTTCATATCAGTTGTACCCTATTCATCACTTCGTTACCAGATTCTGGGCTGTCACAACACTGCTGCAGCAGGAAAAGCACAGATCTTATGCTGCCATTTGCAAGAAAGCAAGCAAATGGCAATTCCTAACCAATAGTTGTTCTGCGTGAGAAATGGAGGGCATGCAACATTGCCCTTTTGAAGCCAAAGCACATTGTACAGTCTGATCAAACTCTCAGCCCCAACCCCTCTAAACCTGCGAACCTGCTTTTGAACACAAGATGAGTTGACGCTTTCTGCAAAGTGGACTGTCAACATAATTCTCAAAGTGATTCCTCTTCTGCTCTCCAGGCTACTTACAGATTTTTCTCCTCCTTCTTTTAGGGAAGCCTTGGATTTGAATCACTCTCAGTCACTCTGCTGCTGACAGCTATGGCCCATAGCAACGCAGGGCTCTATTTTGGGCTCTTAATTTATCAGATGAAGGGTCATGTATGTCCATATATCTGCATATGCAGGGATTTGAATATGTAATAGACCTCGCCCTGTTCCTACCTGTGAGATAAATTAGTTCCATTATTAAAAAGGAAGACTTGATGACAGATGAAAGCTATTAGACCATAATTACATTTTGCACGTTCAGCATATTTGTCTTGATACGAGGCCTGTATGTTTAATATCCTCATAGGAAATATGAGCTTCACATAATGGATAGAGGCATGTTACGGGGCCTGGGCTTTATTTATGAGAGAAATAAGAATAATTCAAGACACACATTTGTTCATTCAACACCTGGGGGACCAATATTGTTACGTCACTTCCATGTGTGACATTATTGCATTTTATGCCACTGCCAAACAAGTGCTAATATTGCTTTTGATATGGCCAGACCTTGGTTTCATCAGTTCAGCGCAGATGCGGCCAAGTATTGGATATTTTAATAACGGCCTGTCAATCTGACAGTGGGCACCAGATTGCAGGGAGACTCATAACACAGGAGAGGTGCAGGGGTAAATCCAGCAATATCTCCTTAGAGTTCACAGACGTTCCCAAGAACAAACTCCCAATCACAATCAAATGTGTTTCACACCCACACAGTTTTGTGCACATGCATTGCATACACAACCACAGACTCATCACATACATAAGACTCATACAAATGACTGTGTGACGCTCTAATTCATCATCAACAAATAAGTGGATCAATATCACATCTCTGTACAAATCTAATCAGAGCACCATGTCTGAGAATTCAAGTCAGACAATCAAACTGAGCATTTGAAAAAAAAAGAACTGCGTTAAATCCCAGCAGACAGCTGCCATGAGAGTTTCTGACTGAAGACTGAATCAGTGTGAACCGAGGACCAGAGGGTTAGATCTTCCTCCATCTGGCCTCGCCTGGCCGTCCACCACCACATCCCTGAGTGGCTGTATTAGATTTATTGAGGCAATGAGCCCCCTGCCTCAGGCCTGGTATTTGATGAATGCGACTCAACTCCCGTCCAAGATTATAATGGGGATAATGCAAAAGGGTACCTTCTGCCCCAAAACTACCATGTGAACAGGCAGAAAAATATCAAGTATTAGGTCACACAAAGTAAATTCAATGCTAATGTATTGGAAGGACGTTATGTTCAATTACTGAATGAAGAAAACACACCATGACTTTTCAATTAAACAAACCTAACATACTCAATGAATGCTCATATCTAAATAACAATATAGATTATTGGTCATCACTGCCTTCCAAAATGACCCATAAGACTGTTCTGAAAATGGCTCTCAACAGCGTTTTCTGATCGGCCACCTATATGGTTCAAGTATAGGTTACATTTACACAACTAAAACTACCTGTTTGATGAAATAATGTGAGCTAAAGGTTCGCTTACAAGCCTTTTCAGGAGCTTTCAACTGTATCTTACCGTCTTACTGAAAACCCTGTGCCTGCTCAAGGATGGGCTTTGAATGTGAGATGAAAGGGGTCAAAAATGATCGAGGAGTCAGTGGACGGCCAGACGGTTGAGCTGAACACGGACACCCTCCAACAGTCACAAGCTGTGCGTTTGTTGCTAGCTAGCTTACAGCTAAGTCTGTATAGTTGGTCCAGTGGTCAAATCCATACAAATGATGCGAGGCAAATATTCATTTCACTGTATGTCTTAACAGAGATCTTGAGAGTAGAATGATGTCCCGTTAGTTCCATCTTTGCTTCTGAGTTAGCAGAGACATAAGGCATACAAGAAACGCATAAGAAAAGAGGGAGTTTGACGTCAAGAGTTTAAACAAATGGCCAAAGTTGTTTTTATGTCTCCGTGCCAACGACAGCTGTGGCCGGAGGCGTTATATTTTTAGGTTGTCCGTCTGTTCCATTCTCGTGAATGAGAATTTAGCACGAACATCCACTTGGACTCAACGATGAACTGATTCAATTTTTTGGGGTTTAAGGTCAAGGTAACATTGACCTCATGTCCATCCCATTTTCGTGAGCGCAACATTTCAGGAATGCCTTGAGGGGTTTCTTCAAATTTGGTACAAACCTCCTCATGAACTGATTCATATTTCCTGGTCAAAGTTCACCTTGACCTCGCAAAACACATTTTTGGACATAATTCAACAATACACAAATGTTTATAAATTGGATAAAATGATGGTTGGAGGAGGCATACAACCGCGAGGCAGTTATTCGAGTTTTACTTTCTGATATACTTTCCAATACAAATTGCACTTCCTTAAGTCCACAATCCAAAAGAAAACATATTTGGGAGTATTTGATGAGAACAACTAAAAAGACATTCAGAGAGGAGCAGACCAGAAGCAAAGAGGTAATATGATAAAGAGGTGCAACAATCTCTCAGGAGCAAAGAGTAAAAGGTACGATGTTTCGTTATTGCATCAGATACCAGTGTCTGCTGTAGCCAGACTGAAAATGGTATGTTTCTACCAGCACCAACAGTCTGTATGGCCACTCTTTATCCTCCAAAACATAAGAAATACTGATATACTTACATATATTTGCCGTTCCTTTGGGTATAGGGAGGTAGGAGCCCACACTCCAGGCTCTTCCGTGGTAGTGCCTCTTACAGCGGCTGCAGTCTGGCCCTGTGGTGTTGTGTTCACACTCACAGCCCAGCTTCCCCTTGTCAAACACACAGCTGTTGGCATGCAGGTTACACTTGCACCTGAGACAAAAAAGATAACAAAAGACAGACGACGTGAATAAGCATCATTCTGCTGCCATTGAATCGATACCCTCTGGACAGAATACACAGAGTCTGCCCTTGCTGCGGCGTGTATTTGTGCTTTTCAAATTTAAATTTAAATCCTGGTGGGTTATCTGACTTGGATCTTGCCTCTACTAAGTTGAATTATTTTCTCCTTTTAAAAAAATAAACAAGGCGTTATTTGTCGTTGCCTCTGTGGAGAGAACAGCGATGCGAATAAGTCACTTTTGTCTCTCTGAGAGCTCAATAAAAGGCACTCTGGAAGATTCGCTAATTGAGCACAAAACGGGGATCTGATAGAGAGATGATGGCACAAAGAGAAGCCGTGTAGCCTGAGAATTCTCTTTTTCTTCTTTTTCTTCAAAGTTACTCTGTTATTTGGCAAGGGAGCCTTCAGGCAGGGAACTCTACCGGTCCACAGAGCTGGTTTATTAGACAGATCTGTGGCAGAGCTGACAGACGCTGCAGACTGGAGAGGAGAGAAAGCATGACGGCTTTCAACACTCAACCTAATCCACCCCCTCTTCTGACCACATGGAACAAGCTAAAAAAAAAAAAAAAACAAGTTTGTTTCAGTCTCACTTGTGTGATTTTAACAACCAGAATGAGCAGGGAGTAAATGATGTGTTCTCAGAACGTAGCCCTTTTTTAATAAATGTAGTGAGTTGTTTAGTCTGTCTCTGAGGCAGAACAGGACGTGTTTGTTTTCACACGAGATATTACAGTTTCATATTCCACGTTTATATGAATAAACTATAAATCTCCCTATTTGATTTTATTCCTAAGAGGGTAAAAGGTTACAACTAGTGACCTCAGGAGAGATTGGGATCTGACACACTACCCGTCTCTAGGGGTTTGTGCGGCTCATGGTTTCACATCATGCCTATGTTTGTTTTTACGAAGCGCTTCCGAGGAAAGATTTCTTCCATTTGAGACTGAGGAGCCGGGTATCTGTTGCATTCCTTCACCAGTGAACATGAGACAGCGAAATGAGGGCAGCAGTCAGAAAGACACCCATTCTAATTGACTTCCTGGCTTTACTTTGACTTCTCACAATAACAATAGATAACTGCGGGAAACGAAGGAAATTGTAGCCTGTTCTGATAAGCAGCAGTAAAACATCGGTAAATAAGGTCTAAATACGGATGTCTGGTAACATCCACTAATTGGTATTAATTAACCCTTTATTTAGCATTTATTAATATCATACACACATACTAAATATGTATGACACAATAATACACTATTGGGTTGTTAAAATGTCTTTATACAATTACTTATTGAAAGGTGCTTTATTAAGGTTTGAATTGTTCACACATATGAATATTAAAATGTATTTGAATGGAAGATATCCTTTTTAACAGCTTACTCCAATTTTAAGGTGTATAGTAAAAATTCATGCACAGATGCAAACATGCATGAACAAATCCTTTGAATGTTAACATTAGTGTTTTAAACAGAGTAGCAATAAGATATTCATACTGTATCAAATTAAAACACTTTCACTGTGTGTTTTTAAAACTTTAAAACTACAATAATTAAACCTACTATTATTCATTAACTGTTTATACATTATTTATGGATATGTAAAGTAAAAATGGTTAGTAAATATATATATTCATTCATCAACAAAAGTTCCCCAAAGAGCACATTAGTAACACCACCATCAATGTATAAAATCCTCACTGCAATTTTACAAAATGATTTTTGAATGTTTTCAACTGCTCAAAGTACTCAAAATACACAAAAACTTACTTGATCATGCAGGAATTCACATAAAACTGAAATGACCATGGGAACCTTTCAGTTTAAACCAGAAAAAAGTAATTGTCATTTCAATTTATCCTCATACAACGGTTCATATGATATCTTGTGAAAAGTTAAAAAGTCATTGTATGTGTGTTTTCCTACAAATGTCAGCAGCATGTGTCAATTGCTGCTTGTTACATGCATACAGTATTTACAAAGTAAATTTCCATCATCACAGGAAACAACTCTGTTCGGTTTAGGCAACAAAACTGAGTTACTTTGAGGAAAAGATCGCTGTTTGGGTTAAAATAACTATGGAAGCGCTGTTGCTGAAGTATGCAAGTTATGAGACAAACAAATCAACGTTGACTTCACACGGGGAACCAACAGCCTTCTCTTGGCTGACAGATCGGTGTTTGTTGGACCTATCTACCTCCCCTTCCGCCTGCCCCGCGTGGGCTTTTGCAGTCTTTATACTTCCTCGTTCATGATTACATGGATAACATGCAACATTATTTCCTAGGATACCTACAAATTATGTCACATTCTTTATTTTGTAGGTATAGCTACGAATGCTGGATGAGATCAGTCTGGCCGTTTGCAGTAACACAGATTTCCACATTTAAACCTTCAATCTATCTGTAAGATAAAGTCATTATCTTTCCTCGGGTTAAGTGCCGTCTCACAACATCAGCAGCCATAATGGATGCTACTGAATACCATCTCACATTCACAGCAACTAAATGCTACTTCCTCTTACCCCGCATTCCCCATAGTCCTTAACTTTTTAATCAATTAAAGATCCTGCTTCATAAAATTAATGACTGAGTGTAGCACTTCTGCCATGCAGACAGCAGCAGCTCCCTCAAGTCAAGAGCGATGAGATTTGACCTTCCACTTAATTAAAAACCAGCTAAATCTGGATCATCGAGCCCAACCGATGCACATAGTTCACTCGGGGGAGCTCTGGGATGCGATGCTTTTGCCGCTGGCATTGTCATATCGAAATCAGAGAGTTTTTCTTTCACCAGTTTGGGCCACGAGAGAGACCCCCTATATGGCCAGATTTTCAACAGGGATCATGAGGAAGACACATTTCCTTACATTTTAATAACCTTTAATTCATTTTACAGCACAATAACAATCGGTGTTATCCATTATCAAGTCAAGTGACCTCCTTAGGAGACACTGGAGATCATCAAGCGTCTTTGTCCCTCCCTCTGCAGTCCTGGGTGAGTAAGAAAATCTATGCATCTTTTTTTGCGGTTTGAATGGAACAAAGCTCTTACGTTAATCAGGGTTGTTTTGGGGCTTCATCGAATTATGATGTGTTGTCATGACCTTCTAATTTCATTAAATTACCTTCTTTGCCCCTGGTGAATAATGTGATACAGACTCGGGACTAAATTGTAGCCTGTGCATGGGCATGCTAAATGTAACAAAGAACAAATCTCTACAGTGAAGGAAAGGTGAGGCGAGCGGCTCGTATGTGTTGATATTCTGGAGTAGACAGCAGCACTGTGTCTGCTGCCTAACCTTGGCTTCTCCTGGCTACTTGGCACTGTGTTGACAGGCTCACTATGTCTAACACAGCTTTTCTTTCTTGTGACAGCCTCTCCTATAGCATCTCTGATTCAAGACAAAAGAGGAGCACAGAACTTGTTAAATGAGAAGAGCTAAAAAGTAGAAGAGCTGAACAGACAGGTTAAGGAAACCTCTCAAATTTTCAAGTTAAATCTTTAATTAAGCAAGAAAATTACATTAAAGCAACTGATTTCGTCATGTGTTTCTGCTGTTGGCCGCCTATTCAGCAATTCAACTATTAAACAGCATTTTTGCCAAGAGTGACAATGTTTGTCACTGTATAGCATATGGCCCTGATGTAACTGTTGAATCCTGTGAAGTGCTTTATATAACTTCCATTTACTGCGTTGCCTCTCAGACAAATAAACGGCGGATAAATGACAGTGAACTTGGTGTCAAGCAATAGAAATGTTTGAATAGGGAGAAATCATGCTTCTAAAAGCCATAATGAGTCTAACTGTCTAAAGAGCAGATAAAGAATGTAGCAGAATTAAAAATACTGTTAAGTGATGCCCTGTGACCTCCAGTAGAGACATTAGTGCTTGCAAATCTGCATGAAAAATATAGACTAATTTGTCTTTGAAACCTATAACGAGGTGGATTGATTTTTAGCAGATACCTAATTAGAGCTCAAGACGGCGTGGGTGTGTACAGACTGTGCTTGATTGACATCTCTCTACCTGATATTTGCAAATGCATTTTTTCACAGAAAACATTTTGACACGTCACAGTAGGAAGTGCTCAGGTGTTAATTGTAAACTCGGATGTTTTAAAGCCTTAAGAATTGCATATTATCTACCTCAAAAACAAATAGTGGTAGCAGCTCCTACAAAAAGTTTTGTGGGGAAAAAAAGAACTTTTCCAAATGCAGACATTACTTATTGATAATTTTATGAAATGGCTTTTTTTTTTTTTTGTATTTTTAGACTGGAAAGTCCCTTTTTTTTTTCCTTTAGAGATTTAACCCATAGCTGCCACTCTGACTGTTAAGACTGACTGAGCAAACCAGTCTTCCTCAGCGCTATACCTCACCTGTTCCCTCTCACAAGTTGCCCATGGTCAGAGCCTTTAATGTGCCTCCATGCTGTATAAATACATACTGAGGTTTGCTGAAACTTTCCTTGACAAGACACTTTGCGACCCTCACATATCCTGCCCGGTGATAGCTCTGACAGATATGGAGAGATCGAGGCTGTTAAGGGGAAACTTTGGGAGTGCTGAAAGTTTTAGATGAATGTCAATGTGTTACCTGGACAAAGCAGAATAACCTGCCAGCACCTTACAGGGAAAGAGAGGCTGTTTAATGTCTTTTACATAAGTGGAAGGAATGCTGTGAGACATGCCAGCTATACAGGGACCAAAATGGGAGAATTTCATTTAAAAAGTTGAGCCTGTTGTCAACATGTCAACCTGTCTCTTACTGTCTTGTAGGAACATTAGGTCAAGCTAAACAAAGATAAAACCGGAATAATTGTTTTTGGAGCAAAAGTAGAAGGATTATCAGTGATTAGCTGCTGTATAATGAACATCCAGAACTCTCAGACGATCTGGGAAGGGAGGCTTAAATTCTTGTTTGCCACTGCCTGTTATTGAATTAAATTTAGCTTTATTCACTGATGCACTCA